CTGACTAGTTCACCTGACATCAGATGCCTGACTAGTTCACCTGACATCAGGTGCCTGACTAGTTCACCTGACATCAGGTGCCTGACTAGTTCACCTGATCAGACTTGCTGATGACGCCGGTCAGTAGAGGATCACACTGACTAGTTCACCTGGTCAGACTTGCTGATGACGCCGGTCAGTAGAGGATCACACTGACTAGTTCACCTGGTCAGACTTGCTGATGACGCCGGTCAGTAGAGGATCACACTGACTATACTGCGCGTATATGATGAGGCCGGCCAGTGCAGTGCTCAGTGACAGTGTCATCAGTATGGGCCACTGCAACCACACTGCACACTGCGCCTGCTTCAGGGTTCTGTTAAACAACCATGAAATAAGCTGAAAATAATCGTGAAATATGTGAAATATGATATTAATATAAATACCTGAAATATGTCTGAAATAATCGTGACTAACAACCCTAAACTAAAAATATTACACGATGGGATGTCTTCACATTTCTTATTCACAGAATTTGAAATTTTTTTTACATATTTTGAATGAATGAGATAAATGCATTTTATTTGCAAGAAAAGTGTAAAGTGCGCGCATTGCAGGCGAGCAGGCGCTGCACCTGCGCCTGGTACTGACCTGCAGGCGAGCAGGCGCTGCACCTGCGCCTGGTACTGACCTGCAGGCGAGCAGGCGCTGCACCTGCGCCTGGTACTGACCTGCAGGCGAGCAGGCGCTGCACCTGCGCCTGGCACTGACCTGCAGGCGAGCAGGCGCTGCACCTGCGCCTGGTACTGACCTGCAGGCGAGCAGGCGCTGCACCTGCGCCTGGTTTACGGCGTAAAGGGACAGGTAGGTGACGCTGCCCCCCAGCACCTGCGTCCAGAGCGTGTGTCGCGTCCGGGGGTCGGGGTCCAGTCTGGCGGGGGACAGGGGGGACTTTATTACGGGGGTTACGGGACGGTGTTACGGGACGGTGTTGCGGAGCAGGCGTTACAAGGCAGGTGTTACGGGGCAGGTGTTTATTTAATCCACCAGCTCGCAGCAGATGAATACTATTATTGATAGTGGATTACATCATGAAAGTTAACATGATTACTGCCCTCTACTTGAGGCCAATTCACACACGTGGAGCAATGGGCAATTCATCCACAAGCAGAACTGTAATTCGAACAGAAGGAGAAATGTCTAATTTACTAACAAACAGAAAAGAGTGCAATTTACTTGCATTGAGAACTACATTATTTATTCAGATGAAGAATTGCACAATTTACTCAAACAAAGAACAGTCCAACACACTCTCAACAATTGCACAATTTACTCACGAGAAGAACTGAAGTCTGCCAGACTGATTAGCGATGGAGAAGACCTGTGAGAGCGAGAAGGTCTGCAGCCCGGTACAGACAACTATGAGTACGGCAGCGAACATGAGTACAGACTGCAGTACATCAGTGATGAGTACGGCCTTCATGCCACCCAGGGCTGAGTACAATGTGCACACGCTACCCACCAGCGCGATACTCAGGGCTTGTGACAGACCTGTGTGGGGGTGGGTGAATAAATGAATAAACGGGTGAGAGTGGGTGAATAAATGAATAAGATGTGTGAGAGTGGGTGAATAAATGAATAAAACGCGTGAGAGTGGGTGAATAAATGAATAAAACGCGTGAGAGTGGGTGAATAAATGAATAAAACGCGTGAGAGTGGGTGAATAAATGAATAAAACGCGTGAGAGTGGGTGAATAAATGAATAAAACGCGTGAGAGTGGGTGAATAAATGAATAAAACGCGTGAGAGTGGGTGAATAAATGAATAAAACGCGTGAGAGTGGGTGAATAAATGAATAAAACGCGTGAGAGTGGGTGAATAAATGAATAAAACGCGTGAGAGTGGGTGAATAAATGAATAAAACGCGTGAGAGTGGGTGAATAAATGAATAAAACGCGTGAGAGTGGGTGAATAAATGAATAAAACGCGTGAGAGTGGGTGAATAAATGAATAAAACGCGTGAGAGTGGGTGAATAAATGAATAAAACGCGTGAGAGTGGGTGAATAAATGAATAAAACGCGTGAGAGTGGGTGAATAAATGAATAAAACGCGTGAGAGTGGGTGAATAAATGAATAAAACGCGTGAGAGTGGGTGAATAAATGAATAAAACGCGTGAGAGTGGGTGAATAAATGAATAAAACGCGTGAGAGTGGGTGAATAAATGAATAAAACGCGTGAGAGTGGGTGAATAAATGAATAAAACGCGTGAGAGTGGGTGAATAAATGAATAAAACGCGTGAGAGTGGGTGAATAAATGAATAAAACGCGTGAGAGTGGGTGAATAAATGAATAAAACGCGTGAGAGTGGGTGAATAAATGAATAAAACGCGTGAGAGTGGGTGAATAAATGAATAAAACGCGTGAGAGTGGGTGAATAAATGAATAAAACGCGTGAGAGTGGGTGAATAAATGAATAAAACGCGTGAGAGTGGGTGAATAAATGAATAAAACGCGTGAGAGTGGGTGAATAAATGAATAAAACGCGTGAGAGTGGGTGAATAAATGAATAAAACGCGTGAGAGTGGGTGAATAAATGAATAAAACGCGTGAGAGTGGGTGAANCTAGTGCCAGCACCCACCAGTGACAGCAGCTAGTGCCAGCACCCACCAGTGACAGCAGCCAGTGCCAGCACCCACCAGTGACAGCAGCTAGTGCCAGCACCCACCAGTGACAGCAGCTAGTGCCAGCACCCACCAGTGACAGCAGCCAGTGCCAGGGCAGGAGCGTACAACACTATGCCGGTGTATATCATCACTGCTGCTAGTGACAGTAATAACACCCACCAGTGACAGCAGCTAGTGCCAGGGCAGGGGCGTACAACACTATGCCGGTGTACAGCGTCATCTGCAGCGTGAACGACAGCGACGCGAGCAGGCGAGTCTGGTAGCCGAAACGTAGCTCCAGGTACTGAAGTGTTCATTATTATCATTAGTAAAGACGTAATGATAACATTAATAATCAATGTAATATTTTATCATTGTACAATATCATTATTGTTTGGTGCTGCTGTCTCACGACACGTGCAGCACGGCAACACGTGTGCTGCTGCCTCACGACACGTGTTCAATAAAAAATAAATAAAACACATTCACCAGCAGTAATCAAAAATACTTCATCATGCATGGCTGACATGATGATACGACAAATTATTCACATTCACGTTTGCTATATAATTAGATGCCATACTTCGATAATTATGATGCAGCGTCAGCATATCCTGTAAGAAAGACGAGATGGAATAGAATAATAGCAGGCGAGACGCATGCCTGCTGACGCTAGCAAAGTTCGTTGTCGTCCACTGTCTCAGGACATCGTTCATACTTTATTAGTAAATAAATATCGTGATATTAGAGCAATAGTGAATACAGTGTCCTCATTCACAATATATATGTAACCTATTAATTTATAATAATGGAAATAATAATTGAGATGTGGTAAGCAATTCATGCATTCCTGTAGAGCGAATAAGTCCAAAAACGAGTAGATTGTAAAGACTATCATAGCGCAGGAATAGTGCAGGAATTTCTCATCTAGTACACGAATTCACAGCGCGTCTGTCACCCTTGTCGACGAGCTATTGTATTGCTTTATTTAGTTCGTAATTTACCATCGCAGTATATGTATATTACCGACAACAAATTAATGTATGGCACTTTACAAATCCACAGAAATAAAACCAAATACGACATACTTTCCAAAACGGATTCTTCCGAAAATGCTTTCCTTCCTTCGTACTGTATTGATCGGTTCAATAAATATTATCGACATAAAATTGAAACATATTCTTTTCATATTCATAACACAAGAAACAATAGACCATATACTTCTGTACATAGACTTAGGACAATCTCAGTTAAAATGAGAAACACTGAGCGAACAACTGCATAACAATAAAAAATTAGACAACATTTATGCATAACCACGAGCGCGGCGCGCACGCCTGACTCTTCATAAGACTGAACCTTGTCTCACAACAACCGGTTTTGAGCAAGACAATGAAGAGTTATTTTAAACGCTATATGGACACCTTGACAGATAGAGGACAAATTCCTACCTCGTAGACGCTGATGTACTACTGGTGACAAGGAAATGGAAGAAGCGAGCTTTCACTTGTGATGCCAACAATGTTATTTTGCTCAAATAAATCACTGCTACTTCTCTCGTATCTAAATAAAATAGACCCTGCCACACACCCTTCTCCACTTTGCCCACTCTGTCTATCCAACACGCACGACACCATTCATCTTGTCTTCTGCCCTGAAATGCCCACATCCCTGTCGGTGGGTGACCTTTGGGCAGACCCTGTGAACGCCGTGGGGCTGCTGGCCGCTGGGGCAGCCGACTTGGCTGGCCCCAGAACTGGGTCTGGGCCCCGCGCGCTACGAAGGAGGAGGGCTAACAACACCAGCAACAAAAAAACAAATTAATTTTTGGAGTAATTCTTACCTTGTAGACGCTTATTTTTTGGAGGTTGTAGAAGACAGGGAGGTAGAAGTAGCAGACGATGGGTGTGCAGATAATGTAGGCCAAGTTGATCATGATGAACATGGTGCCGAACATGTACATCTCCTGCACCACCCCCAGCAGCGTGATGGCCGACATGAAGGAGGCCATCAGTGAGAATGCCACAGGCACGAATGGCATGCTGTTGTCGGCTAGCATAAACTCCTGGTCAAATGGAATGATAAATCAATGGCAACATAGTCCATGCATTTAAATTAGGTTATCAGAAAGAATAGATCTGAAAAATCATGTTGTATTAATGCAACACAATTTACTAACAAAAAAAGCGAGAACAATCATGCTGTTTACCAAGTAAAATTCCTGTCATTGTAACATGACAGGTCAGCAGCATGCAAGCAGCAAAATAAGTTTTTCTACATATTTATCACATTAGAAGCTATGCTATACTGAAACATTGAAGGTTTCACTTCTATTAGAAATTAGACATACAGAAGTTAATTATTGGGCATTAGCAGCAGAATATTTGTTTGCTCACCTTGAGTGTGGCCTGTTTGCCTCCTGTAAGCCTGTAGTACAGGCCTATTGAGGATGACAGCAGCAGCAGCATCGCCACTACCACATAATCAAACACACCAAGCACCGCTGTCACCTCCATCTCAGCCTCTGTCATGACTTTGTTGCCACTATGGAATGCTTATGTTGGGTTCTTTAGTCTCTGGCAACAATTTAGGTGAATGAGAGCCTTCTTCCAGATATGGATGTATTGTTAAAGTACAGAGTAGTGTTTACAGATCCAGTTGCGAGTGGAATGAAGTGTAACCAGACATTGGGAGCATGAGTGAGGTATATAAGCAAGGCAACTGCAGTCATCAGAGCATTGGACATCAATCTGCCTGCTTATATTAGTTACAATGTCACTGATCAAGCACATGCATGAAAAATATCATTATTGGAATTTTTCCCCATACCTGAAAAAAATAAAGAGAAATGTTTGGTATTGAATTAGAACATAAACATTGAATGAACAAATGAATAACAGATTTGGTTTGTGATGAAAAATACTGAAATAACCGCCCAGCTACAACTTGCTGCCAACCTCTTATGCTGATGAGTAGTTAATGCAAATATTTTGGTGGCCAGGAAAGAATATTTCACCTGAGAGCCCAAAAAGTGTTTTCAACACTAAAACATCACATTTTCTGTGACAACTATTGAATTTGAGTTGCATGGTAAATTGATCAATAATTTTTATAAACATATCCTGAATTGTGTTATAGCTTTTCATTCAATCATAATGCATTGAAATCACATATTTATACTATGATGTTCAAAGACCAACCTTCACTGGTTCTAAAAATAATTTCAGATAATAAAGGAAAAAGAACTGTCTGTCAAACAACAACTGTCGGTAAAATACTATGGTCAATAACACTTAAAGGATATTTTAAGAAGTTGAGAAATACAGAAGCAGACATTGCCTAATTTCTAACTAGAAACTCTAGTCCCAGTGGCATGATAGCTATTATCTTCAACAATCCCTTCCTTCATCACAACTCTATATAGGCAGGATATTTAGGATAAATATTTTAGCAGGATAGAATGGGGACAGCAATTTCAATCATAAATTGAAGTCACAGGCTCAGAATCTCTTGTTAGAGAGTACTATTTAAATAACAGTGGAAATGTCCAGAGTGAATCCTGATCAATAAGACACAATTATTTTATTATTCAATTTTAACATTAATTTCAATAGTCACAGTAATTTTTTTTTTTGAAAATTTGGGACTCTGATGGAATCAGCATTGATTCAATTAGTAAAGTTTCTCTTGTTGATTAAATTAGTAAAGTTTCTCTTGCTGATTAAATTAGTAAAGTTTCTCTTGCTGATTAAATTAGTAAAGTTTCACTTGTTGATTAAATGATTAAAGTTTCTCTTGTTGATTAAATTGGTTAAGTTTCTCTTGTTGATTAAATTAGTAAAGTTTCTCTTGTTGATTAAATTAGTAAAGTTTCTCTTGCTGATTAAATTAGTAAAGTTTCTCTTGCTGATTAAATTAGTAAAGTTTCACTTGTTGATTAAATGATTAAAGTTTCTCTTGTTGATTAAATTGGTTAAGTTTCTCTTGTTGATTAAATTAGTAAAGTTCCTCTTGTTCATTAAATTAGTAATTTTCCTCTTGTTGATTTAATTAGTAACTTTTTTTTGTTGATTACGTTAGTAAGGTTTCTCTTGCAAGGCTTGGTTGCAAAGCTAGTTCCACTCAAGAGACTAACTGCCTAGTGCCTAGCATATTATTTTTATGTGCAATATTCTGGCTGGCCTTTAACACGTTGACTACGATTGCTTCATCTTGTACTATTATTTCATTTTTTGTACTTTTTTCAAGCAGGGTTGCCAGACGGTCATTTTTTCCGGACAAATTCCGTGATTTAGTTTTTCTCAATTGCTTTGGCCAGCTAAAATTTATGATAGGGGTACTTCCTAATTAAATTTTAAATACTGCAAAAAGAAAATAAATGGAATTTTTATAGCGGAACCTACTAATAAACTAGTATACATTGAATTATCAGCCTCTTTTGGCCTTTTTTATTCTCGGATTTGGCCGATTTTAGGCAACCTGAATTATGTACCACTAACTCCTGGAGAAACACATTTTGTGGTACGCGTACACATATGTACCAATACATAGTCAACATGTTAACTACACCCAGTTTCATGGTACTCAAGAAGATGATAATTTTAGCAGAGATTTACAAGTCAAATACAATAACTAATAAATGATAGAGAAGTGAAATTCTAATTAATCTTTAATTTAATCTTAGAGTCAAAAACAATGCAGTTAATACCTTATTTTGGTCAATGATCATTGAAGTTGAACTACATGATACTACATTAATGATTAAACTGTGCATTAGTCAACCAATAGGCATAGCAGCATATCTCATGTTTTATAGTCAGACTATCACTGCAGAATACATGCAATTGCCAAAGCCACTAACATTGCCACAGCATTTATGTTGCTGGCTTTCTTTAGAAACAATATAGTTTATAATTTAGAAATATAATATAAAAAAAATCCAATCAAATCAATGAAATCATTATTATTTATACTATGTAGTACGTACCTACAAACTCTTATAGGCCTACCACCTACCCACACTCAGGATGATGTATGTTTTCGGTGAATTTTCCCGCGCATTTTCACTTTTTTTAAGCTATTGCTGTGCACAGTTGGCGCAATGTAATGAAAATTGATTCTATTCGTGCACGTGTTCGCGCAATCCCGGCCATCAATTCTATGTCGCACTGCCGCGCACGAGCAGTTTGTGGAGGAACAGACATAATACTCACATTACTCAGTACAGTATGCCTTTAATTATTTTTCAATAATATATGATTTTTCTTGATACGGAAATTTGGTGAATGAGAAATCTAGAACTTTATTTTAGAAGAAATTTTCTCCAAAGTCATATGGCAACACTGAACACCATCTGTTTACATTTCGTATGTATAATAGCCGCAGTTTACGATTACCGTACGTTCCGTATCCCGGTATCCGACAAGCATAGTGGCAAAGCAGAGAGTTTTTTAGACTCTTCCTCAAGTTCATTTTTGAGTCCTATAAGTAGACCAGTAAAGTATCTTGGATACCAGAATTATCATACATAAGAAATCTGTTAAAATCTTGAGTAAATGAGGTAATTAAAAATGAAATGATTCTGAAAAATCTCTGGTTTGCCACTATGCGCGACAAGGCGGACAAGCGGAAGAGTCAGAAGTAACCCGGACATGTCTTACATTTTATTATTGTCAGTTCGACTTGCGTAGTCAATATACTTCATACTTGCGTATAATGTCGACTAAAATAGTAGAACAATTTTAGCTTTCTAAAGTACGGCGCCATAGTGACAAACCAGAGATTTTTTAGAATCAATTAATTCTTAATTACCTCATTTACTTGAGATTTTAACCAATTTCTTAAGTATGATAATGCTGGTATCCATGATACGTTACTGGTCTACTTATAGGACTCAAAAATGAACTTGAGACAGAGTCTAAAAAACTCTCTGCTTTGCCACTATGTACGGCGCATGGCGCATTTTTTTACCAGCATAGTACGGCGCACTGCACAGGTTGTTAAAATGACAAAATAAATTCCCGCACACCTGGCACATCTTCCTGACCATGGCCACCTACCTATGTTTGGAGATTAAAAAAATAAAGTAATGTCAAAAATTTATGTATATCCTGAATTATATAAAAATATAATTATACAATGTGATATATAACATAAATTTTTAATTATGTGAAATAAATTTAAAAATTACTTTACAGTGATGAAATAGAATAATAGATACCTAATATAATTATGATCTCCTACAATCCTACTCAATCTCAAAGTTGTTAATGGTAGGCAGTCTTACTCTTACAATGATGAATGAATATTGTTTACAAATTAAACAGAAGTAACAAAATAAGCAACAACAATTTTTTACACTCCTGCATGATGTTTTTTGTAGTAATCACCAAGCGATGCAGACTTAGTAAAGAGCTACCGTAAATAAACTTTACGTCTTGAAACTCTTTTCTCGTATCTATCGATCGGTTTGCTTCAAGCATCTAGTAGATTCATAGCAAAGTTGTTTTGGGGTAACAGTATTGGATAGTCTGTCGCACACAGATGATCTGCCGACAACTGAAACACAAGTCCATACTAGATCGCAGTTCATCGTCAACTGAGCATGCCGGTGGGCGGTGCCCGCCGGCCCGGTGGTGACCGGCGTCAAAGTCGAACGGTCACCAGCTGATTTACGGATTGTAAACCTTTCATCACTTGCGGGACGTATAAAAAGTGTACTTGCATTTCAAAGTACAAATTGCGATACAAATTAATAAAGAACATTTGGATTTCTAACGTTATGATTTGTAAAGCATTAAGTGTCAGTTGATTCGCATTGCCCATGATGGAAAATGGACATTCAAGGTTACATATAGTTTAAATGGGCAAGATGGGCGACAGAGTAATGATGGGCAGGGTGGCCCAGTGGTTACAGTTCAGAGTACCAAGATTGGAGCAGAGAGGCCCGGGTTCGATCCCAGCTCTGTGCGTCAGTTTCTGGTCAGAATCGGCAAGGAGGCCGGGCGGTTAAGCACAGCAGAATTGTAGCAGTGAGTTGCGAGTTCAAGGCAGCAGCAAGCTGTGAATGTTCTGCGATGTTAAGAATCGGCGACAGGCCTACGGCCTAATAAACGCTGAAACCGCTATTATTATTATTATTATTATTATTATTATGTCGAAGTCGACAACGGAAAAGGATTTAGGAGTTAATATCGACAATGAGTTGAAATTTTCTAAGCAAATTGAAGGTCAAGTTAATAAAGCCAATCATCGACTTGGACTGATCAGACGCTCTTTCGAGTTCCTAGATTTAGAAACGATGAAGCAGTTGTTTGTTGCTGTCGTGCGCCCGAACCTGGAGTTTGGAAACGTCGTGCGGTCACCGAAATTTGAAAAGGACAAAAATTTAGTAGAGAGTGTTCAAAGACGTGCAACAAGGATAGTTCCGGGCTTGAAAGGCAAGTCCTATGAGGAAAGATTAAAGATTATGAAGCTTCCAAGCCTCCATTATCGACGTCTGCGTGGGGACCTCATTGAAGTATACAAGTATACTCATGGCTTATACAAGGTCCCAGAAGGATTACTATAATTTGAAACAAGAACCAACACCAGGGGCCACGGCTATAAACTAAAAAAACAGCGTTGGAACACATCCATGCGACAACATTTCTTCTCGCTTCGAGTCACCGACATGTGGAACAGCCTCCCTGATAGCATCGTTGAAGCTCCGAGTATGAACATCTTCAAAAACAGACTAGACGAAGCTATGCAGGAGCATATGTTCAGTCTTAAAATGCCTAGCAAATTACGGATCAGGCAATAAGTCCAGCAGCTATCTCAAATCAATCGTCAGCTATAGAAAGATCGGGTTCCAAAGGCCGGATCCCTTGTGAATCACGTCACGAAAAGTTCAAGAATCGGCAACAGGCCATGGGCCTATTTCTTCAACGCCGACACTTCTATTCTATTCTATTCTAACACCAGGCCTATTCTTCAGCGCCGACATCACTATGCTTTAGGATAGGAGTTTGTGTTGCATAGATGGCTGAAAACAGAGATCTTCGGGCCCCAAGTGTTTTTATACGATTGGAATGTCATGGGACACATAGGGTCGATCCTCACCCTGTCGAGCTTCTGTACGAAACTATCTTAGATTGGGGCGTTGAAGACCTCACCTTGCAAGTATTTTTTCGAAAAATATCAGCCCAATAAGTCATTATGTCCAGCTTGGATGCTTGATTATCCAGTTTGAAAGGAGTCTTCTTGCTATGTTGTTGAAACATCAAGGACGAATGATGTCTGAATTGCTCTTTTTGAGTCCTAGGGGTGGACTTCAAAAATCCCTAACAGGCCCTTTCTGAAACTGCAGTTTATCAGGCTCGGTTGTCTCTTAGCTATATGATGACTCCAGTCCTTTGACCTTTCCACGAACGATTAGCACTCGTTAGACATTCTTTTTCAATACGATATCCTCTAATTCGAGAAAAGTAAAAGTTGAAATCGTTACTGAACTTTGACTAATTTTAAATAGGTACTAGGCATTTCAAGGTTGAACATGTATAGACTTGTCTAGTCTATTCTTGAACGCTGCATAGTGCATACTCACAGTGTTGCAATCAGACGATGGCTGTTCCGCATGCCGGTTACTGGAAGCGAGAAGAAGTGTTATCGCGGGGATGAGTTGTACCGCAGTTTTTTCGCTTATAGGGCAAGTTCTTGTTTCAAATTCTGTGAATTCTTCTGGGACCTCGTATAAACCATGAGTATGCTTATATACTTCTATGACTGAGTATGAGGTCGCCACGCAGACGTCGATAAAAAAGAATTTCAAGGTTCTTGATTTCTAATCTTTCTTCATATGACTTGCCCCTAAAGTCTGTAACTATAATTTTTTCAAATATTTGAACGCTCTCGGATAAATTTTTTTCCTCTTCAAGTTTTGGCAATCATATTGCGCCCCCCAAACTCTAGGTTCGTGAGCATGAAAGCAACAAACAACAGCTTCATCGCTTCTGCATCTAGGACTAAAGGTGTTGCAAATTCTATCCTTAAGGAATTTATGTTGGTCAAAAACCTTTTTACAATTTCAAAAAATAAGAAACCTTATATGATAATGTGTCGGATAAACGTTCTCATATGGCCGGATAAACGTTAAAGAACGGTCCACATGTTTGCCAAGGCACTTTTTATAGGATCTTATTGGAGAGACATCCGCATGCCATCAACCTTAAGGGATTCGTTGTGCGCGCATTGGCTTATGACACGGCACAATAACTTGCATTTTTAAATTTAACAAACTGCCATCTACCTAACCAATGACCCTGTCTAAATCTCCTTTCAGGCATTCCGATGCACACCGCAGCTCGTACGTTCAATTATGCAAATATATTTATCAGTAAGATTGAGGAGGAAAAATGTTATCCGTTATTTTAGTATGTAAATTTTGTTCATAAAAGGTATGAATTTGAAATCAATCATTGTTGTGTAGCGAATAATATTGAGAAATTGCATACATGCATTTCTTTTTTGTTAATAAGCTATGTATACATGTAATTTATAGTTAATTTACTGATAAGTATGCATGTAAGTACCCATTACTAGCTCAAAATTTTTTATTGCCGCACAGTTTTCTTTCTCCTACGCTTTTCCAGCCTCCACTGACGCCAGCCTCCTCTCAACTTAATCACTTATTTTAATGCAACAACTTTTACGCACTGTGAAAGGAAAACAGGTATTCTGGCTTACAAGCCCAAAAGATCGCAATTATAATATGATTTGATTCTCAAAACGTCATGCTGTCACCCTCACCCATCACGACCTCTCAGACACTTCTCCGGCCGGTCATCTGGCGGTCTCCATCATTAAGTGAACATAAAATTTCTCGTAAACTAAAGAGGGCAGTTCTATGAAAATTTGTTCATGCACTCATTAGGATCTAACGGTAATGTTTAAGTCACCATTTTTGTGAGATTTAGCCTTCGTTCCCAAACTCTATGCTCAAACGGGCAGCATTCCCGGCCAGATAAGTGTCCCAAAGGTAATTTCTCATCCTATTTCATCATCAGAATCTCCAGAATTTCTTTCTATTGTGTATCCAACCTCAACATTAGGTGATTCACAATTTTTCCTGCTATCAGTTCACGGTTCATTATTCTCATGTATAGTAGATAATTTTTCAGTAAAAATTACAAATAATGAAATTGCTATGTATATTCATCATATCTTTATTGAAAACGCTTCGGATACCAGCTCCGCCATCTGTATGAAAATTGTTGTTTCATATTAAGAATCCCAATTGATTCTCACATTAGTCAAAATTTTACCTTCACTGCAATTAACAATTCTTAGTCAAAATGTCATACTATTATCAACGCACCATCGATTTCGAAGAATCACAGAGCACGACAAATCGACTATGATAACCCCCACCTACCCATCCAATCAATGGCAACCATTCAAACGCCAGAATTCTCGAATAAACTATCTAGATATTTATTCATGCCAAAAAATATTTTCAAATAATTTCTTAGATGTATCGAACGACATGATGAAACACGTGCTTCACTTTTTGGAAAAATTTAAAATCGCTCCCATTCCGCATCACCGTATTCCGCACGCCATCCTTTGTTTACGTTTGGTACTTGGTAGCTCGTGCAGCTCATCCCTACAAATCATCTTCAAATGGATGGTCATTTCGTCTTTTAGTTCTGTAAAAATTCCGATACAACTAGCAGCTTGTGCCTCAAAATTCAATTTATATTCTCATGTTAGGTAGTTGAGAGTATTTTGATGATAAACCGCCAGAGCATCTTGATGATTTGATCGTCCAAAATTAAAATTTGAAAAAGCTACTAGGTATAACACAATCAGTAAATCTTGGCCAATCAACAGCTTGCCAGCGCAGCCAGCCTGGAAAGGAGGAAGCAAAATTAATTGAAAAAGATCCTTAAGATGATATGCCAATAAAAAATGTTTTAATTATTTCATAGCGCTTAAAGCATTTGTTCTCTTTATTTTTATAATAGATATGAGTTACAAACTTATGTGCCAGTTTTGAAATTTCAAGGTAATTCATTTTGCCCTGTATTGAAATTTTCTGAATGTGATCCTGTATTTATTTGGGTAAATAAATAGAAAAATCATAACTCCATTATAAGTTGATAATAGCCATTTCAAATGATGAGCTTGAGCAGGATGGAATTCTAATTTCAGAGGTTCATATATTATTTCGATCCACCAAGACCACTTCTTCTATCCAACATTGTTATTTGAGGCAAAAAATGAACTTCTTAAAGGCTTAAAACACGCACGCTAACTTGCTCAGTTTCTATAAAGTACCTAATGATAATCACTTGGAAGTTGTAAACCTGCACCTATCACTCAACAATTAAAATTAGACTTATAAAAAAGTATTAGTTAGTTGAAATTTTGTCTCTTAAGTTGACCGCAATGAACTAAACTTCATTAAGTAATCATTAGGCAGAGTTTTTCATCATGCACACTAAACATGCAATTCAGAGTTCAGACGAGACGAACTTCATAACACGAGAGCTAACGTGCTACTGAATTGAATTGCTTCTTTCCCGCTAACGCTGATCTAGCGGGATGATCAATCATTACTTAATTCGTATACGGTTGTATACGAATTACGAATTAACTAATTGTTTGTATACTTAATGCAAGAGAATGAATAATTATGTTGTTTCTGATCAAACAAACGAAAACTTTTTCTGTTTCTGATCAAACGAACAAAAACTTCTGATCAAACGAACGAAAACTTCTGATCAAACGACTGAAAACTTCTGATCAAACGAACAAAAACTTCTGATCAAACGAACGAAAACTTCTGATCAAACGAATGAAAACGACTTTGAATTCTAATACGGATCGTTAATTTTAACATTGTATTTCCAAAAATCAATTATTGCATTTCTTTTAATTGAAAAACATCCTTTTACATAAAAAACAACGAATTTTTTCTTACAGCTCCTCAGGAATGACAAATGAATGCTCCTCATATTGACAAATGACGATCTTACTCTTATAGCTAAAAATTTTAAATTGAATGATTTTGTCATTTAAAAGACTCCATTGAATACAGAACTTTAGTTTTTGGAAGTGTATTCAAGAAAAGTTTCTGAAATAGTAGAAACATTTCCATTATCATTCTGAAATAGACGCGTCATTTCTGTTCTTATATATAAACATGATTAATAAAATACCTATCAAATCCATCCAATGTCATTCAATTTGTGATGTATGAACGACCGTTTTACTTTGATTCCTATGATGCTCATTTTTACCGGTTGAAGCTGTAGAATTAAATTAAATTGAAAAATTAAATAAAATTAAATTTTACTTAATCAAAATTTATTATTTAATATACTAGATGGTACATGCTGTAGAATTAAATTCTATAAGAAAAATGTTGAATTAAAAATCTGATTATATTTTTCAAATTAAAAATTAATTTTTATTGAATTAAATTGTATTATTAATGCACTATACCATACTTGCTCTATGTTTTCTATAATGAAATAGTTTCCCATATTAAACAACGAAAATTTTCTAAAAGACACAAAACGTTCGAAAACGCGGGATGGCAGACGAAATCATTGAGAATTTGAAGTCAATTTATCGAGATAAATTCAACATAATAGGGCAAAAAATTCAAATCTGGAACGTATAAATAGGTTTTTATAATTAAAAAAAAACTTTCAATCATTTAAATCTCAGAATGGAATGTGAATCAAGTCTATTTATTGTGAAATCAAACTAGACACAACCAAAACATAAGTGTGTGACACCGTCTTGTGAGAAGTAAACAGAAAACTTCATGTGAATGTATGCAGTGAAAGAGTTGAAGTTTATCTCATAATTTTGTGTGAAATTGAAAACTTTGTGGGTGATGTCCAATCGTGAGAATTTTTTACGAAGCTGGATGTGTTTTTTTTATTTTAGAACGTATTCATTGCAAAAAAGATAGCCGACAGATAAACGACTAGTTAACTTGATTAGTCGTTGGCAACACGGGATTGGATTTCAAACCACGCGCGATTTTCAAATGAGCTCAGTTCGTCAATTTTCATTGCAGTGGAAGGTGGTGTAACGCGGTGGTAGGGTTGGTATTTCGATACGTTTTCTTATATTGACATGAGAATATATTACCTACACAGAATTCCACACTGAGCTTGAGGCCAGGGCTGGAAAAGTCCTATTTTTTCTGAAATATTGTGACTCTAATATCATATAATTTCAGTAGGTATGAAATCTCATGGCTCAAATGTCATAAATTTTTGTTTGATTGAAAAATCGCAGTTTGCATTTCGCAAACATGTCATTTCTTAAAATTTTCAACTTGCACAATCCACATTGTTTTACCGTTCCTGCCAAAATATCCTGCAGAAGAAACATAAACATCGTAATGTAAACAAATCAACTAAACGTTTTGTTGAAGATTGTGCATAGTTTTGGTCATGTCAAAGCGGTAAGACTGCATTAACATGTGCTCAACTTACAGTAAAGACAAATTTTATTGTTGCCATTTGACTGTTTTAGGGTAAAATTAGATATTTGGGGTAACATGTGCATGGACTTTGTAAATAAGTTCACGCCTCATAAATGGCTTTTCATTTCCAAGATATGAAATTCATGGTTTGGTGAAATGGAATCACGGCTGGCAAATCCATAAAACCACGGCTCGAAAAAATCAGTCGTGGCTTGCCAAGTGGATATATGCCATGCCTGCTTGAGGCCAGGGTGCAGAGGGTGGAAGCAGCATTGCCAATATATGGGTTTTTAAGCCCAAAGCATCGCCAACCATTTTCAAGATGCATTGCCAGGTAATTTTCAATGAAAAGCCATTTACGCTGAGTAATGAAAAACTATTTACAAGCAACAAACTTATTTACAAGGTTGCATGCACATGTTATCCCAAATAACTAATTTTACCCTAAAAACAGTCCAATTGTACAGCAAGTGTCAACTGAACGTGTGATAATGCAGTCTGACCGCTCTAATGTGACCGCAACTACACAATCGTAAACTTGTTGTCTACATTTGCGTAGGATATTTTGGCGGGAACTCATCGCAACTGATTTCTGGACAAGCTTCACTGCATCCTGATCCATCCAACGTACTGGAAACCTTACTTATTTCTAAATAGTTAGCCAAAGACTGACAAATATATTAAATGCAAGAATTTCAATCTAAATGTGTCGGCAAGATCTTCTGAAGGCATAAATTTTGCTACTGAAGCGTCGCCAAAGATCCTGCAATATTCATCCACTCTCTGCACAGTGGGCTTGAGGCAGAGCTTCAAAATATAACTACAGTACTGTTGAAGTGTTGATTCAGTATCAAACCAATCTGGAATATTTGTGACAATTTTCTATAAATTGTAGGTAGTAAGGATTATTTTACTTGTAGTTTCCTATAGATTTATAACTTTTCCTCAATTTTATAATGACACATTTTTATTATTGGGATTAGCATTTAACACTTTTATATATATATTCATGATTAGATTGATAATTGATTGACTTATCATTGATGAGCTAATCGCAAGATATCTTCTTGTTATTTAGGTAATCACATTAATTTCATATTTATCTAGAAAAATTATTCTTGAATTTGTTGCAATTGTTTCATAACATTGAGAATTTTAACAAGTATAGAAGATTTTGCCAGTTCTCAGTTTTATCTATGGCCTACCACCCATGGGGCATATTTGCATGGAATAATGTTAAGCTAATATGAATGTAACCAGTAGTACAAGATTGACCACCAAGCTTGAAATTATGGGCTTCCTGAATGACTGCCCCTTTCTCAATAATGAGAATGAATGATAAACATAGCGAGGAAAAGATATTTATGCAGAACATCAGAGCAAATGGATGTGGACACAAGTGCATGAGTGTCATGGATTATTCTGATAGCATTATCTGTAAATAGGAAGATAAAAGCATTTTGGTTGAAAGTATGTAAGCAAGGCAAAGAAAGGAAGTGCACTCACTTCTTATATCAAATTAGATGCAATAAAATGATTTTACTGATAGCATTGATAAGGGGCAATTAACCTGAGTGAGAGCAAGGGTGCCAAGTTTGAATTTGCAAGCATGCTAGCATGATGAGAAAGCAGGAGGTACATGTTCTAAGTGTGGCATGGTGGGATAGAAACTAAGACCACCTGACCTTGGAGGGACAAGAGACAGCTGGTTCAAGAAAAAAGTGTTATGGTACATAGAGTGTGGTATAAAAGAGCTGTCAATGAATAGCAATCATTGTGGATTTTTCCTCTAGAACCACGGCAGCTGTGGTTATGAGTAAAATATGTTTGGAAAGAGTGCAGGGGCTAAGATAGAGTGATGAAAAGGATAGCTAAAGTGGAGTCTTGAAGGGGTTGAGAAGTTTAGAGGTAATATTATTGTAAGACAAATCAATCACATTTTGGAGTTTTCAAATATTTTTAGTGATTTTTTAAAATTTTGTAATTCTGGGAGCATATGTTAATGTATTCAATTGAATTTATAAATAAGTTGTATGGCTTTTACCCATACGAAGAGTCTGGTTTGAGTGTTCTCAGGTCACCAAAGCCCATGTCTAGTTCCTTCTTGATATTTCATTATTGAAGGCTTCATTCGAAGTTGTAAGTGGAATGCTTCGAAAATCGGCAGATTGAATTATTGCAATCGAAATGGGCATCCCAATGCGTTTGCTTAGTGCTGTTAGAGCCGACATGCTGTGATGCTAATAACATTCTATGGGATACGTCAGTATGGGACTATTACCGGTATCTCGTACATTGTTTGCGTCATATGCAATCATTGCGAAACATGTCTGTCTTACCCTCGTCTTAGAGAAGCGAAATATGTACATCAGGTGCAATGAGCGTAAGACAGAAGCTAAATATGTATGACAGACGCAATGAGCGTAATACAGAAGCTAAATATGTATGACAGACTCAGTAGGCATAAGACAGAAGCTAAATATGTGTGACAGACTCAGTGAGCATAAGACAGAAGCTAAATATGTGTGACAGGCGCAATGAGCGCAAGACAGAAGCTAAATATGTGTGACAGACTCAGTGAGCATAAGACAGAAGCTAAATATGTGTGACAGACTCAGTGAGCATGAGACAGAAGCTAAATATGAATGACAGACGCAATGAGTGCAAGAAAGAAGCTAAATATGTATGACAGGTGCAATGAGCGCAAGAGGTTAGCAAAATGCGTTTGACAGACGCAGTCAGTGTAAGACTAAAGCAAACAACAAGTAAAAATATTATCGACGTAAGACGATCGCCGCGTGTGACCGAAAACCTACGTACGACGCTCGTGATTTAAATTGGTTATTGGCTGCAGACACGTTTGCTATATATACTGCATTTTCAAAACCTACGAATAGATAGATTTATGAAGAATCTCGCAGCGTTTCCTTCATCAGATACTTATTCAGTTTTTATGTATATGTGTTAGTATTCAGATTGCTGATACTGAATTGGTTTACTTCATTTTATGTATGCGCAATGCTTGTCCACAGGATCGACCTAGCTTGGGTCACCAGAACCAAGAAGGTCATGGAGGGTGCAGTTGTGTCCAGAGAACAAGCCCTCGAGGCCGCCGAACCCGTCGTGATGAACGACTCGCTCTTCTGTAGAATTCTGAAGTTGCCTGAAGAAGGAAGCAGTGAAGATGGCAACACCTCGTCTGATTTTCCAAGTGACCTGCATAATGTAGACGATTGGTTCAAATCTAAGAATGATAGCATGTCAGGGCTGGATTTTGATTCCGATCTTAAAAATGCTGAGCTAGACATCGGCGATCTCTTTAACCTGAAAGGAATGCTACAGAGTCAATTGAGCAGCGGTGACTGCTCTGGGATCTCTCAAGTCAGAGCAGAGCATAGTTTATGTCAGAGTGCATTTGGAAAGCCTGAGTCTGCAGGATCGAGTCACTATGAGAAATATTTTCATCTTCCCAGTGGCGCTATTAAAGCGGGATCTTACCCCCTGGACAGAGGCATATTCGAGGAGATGTTGCTGGCAGACTCCATGCAAAGACTATGCAAGAACAAGAGCGTACCTCACGACGCTGGTGATGCTAATAAGCAAGCCTCTGATTCAGAGGAAGTTCTTCTGCCAGCATTCCAAGAACTCATCTCTAGCAATACTACAATGGAAAGGAAAGACACGATGCGTTCGACTCAAACTTCTAACCAGCCGTGCTTAGCTCTTGACTTTGAGATTCATTCTCCCCTAACATCGAACGACCAACTGAACAATCTCATCACAGGATCTTTTTTGAAGTCGAAACTTGGCAAAGATACTCCTCAGCCCTTCTATGTTGACACGGATGAAGGCATCAGCAAAGATCAATGCAGCATCAAAAACCTGCTTTCTAATTCAGCGCTTGGTGAGCTGTGCATGGACGACCTCCGCTGCCATGAATTGTCTGTGTCTGAAGAAATTGCAGGTTTGCCCAGTGAGTTTTTTTCTGTTTCAACCTGTAACTCGATTGAAACTGACTCAAGATTATCCTCCATCTTAGCCTCGAACGCACATAACGAGAACGAGGGTGCAACGGCTGCCTGCAAGGATCTACTAGACACAATTGATAAAAATTTCCTAAAAGCTGATCTAGGTATCAATCCTAATCCTGATCTACGTCCCTCCAAGTGGTCTTACGAGACTAATCTCTCCAACGGTTCATTGTTGGTGAGCAATTGTGTTGTTGACAACAAGAAAGATGCAAGAACTTCATCAGTGAGTGAAAGGTTGGCTCAATCTGAGAAAAGCAAAGAAGAGTTAGTTAAAAATATCATCGAGTCTGCGTCAGCATCCAGTGCTGTAAACTCTCTAGCTTTTGATACAGTTGGCTGTGCGTCATCTATAAATGAGAGTCACACTCTTCAAGATGACAGAGATTATGCAGACACCGATAGACCTTTGTTGCAGCACGAAATAAATTCATTGCTACCTATGCCGTCGGAGGCCTGCAAAATTAATTCAAATTCGTATACTTCTAAAGGAACCATGATCATCACTTCTGCGAGTTCAAAGTCCACACAAATCAATTGCTCAACGGTTTCTCAAAATGGTTTGTTCAATTCCAACCCCGCGTTGAAACTGATTCAAAATCAAAGGAACATCGCCACGTCCAGTGACAACCAAACCACCACCTACAAGACGATCCCCATGATGCAGCCTTCGCTTGTGTTCAGTGCCGTCAAATCTCACGACCGGAAGATCAGCCTTCCTCAGAATCTTTTACTTGCACTGCAAGGATACAAGACGGACTCACCCGACACCGAAGGGTCTGTTCCTCCGCCCGTACCTCCTTCAGCCCTGCGGCACAAGGTAGTGAGGATCACAAAGGCGGCGCCCCCAGCTACACGTGGGTCTTTGACCAACATGACTAAAGTCAACCTCGATGACTTGCGATCTCATAAAGGCCAGGCAAAAGTGGTCATGTCGGTCGATCCCAAAGTCAATCAAACTTCAATTTTCATCACCTCTTCCAATGACGAAGTCACGGTTTTTAAGGTCAATTCATGCGACTTGGTAAAAGCCGTGTCTTGCATCAAAGACTCGCACCTTGACCCCCTCGGTCTAGCCCCATGGCAACTCATCCAGAGAGCGCAGACCGCCAGCAAGTTCATCAAGAAAATACAGCAGGAAAACGGACTCTTGACAGCAGATCAGTTGAGTGCGGGTACACTCTCGCCGTCACATAATTTTGAAATCAATCAGATGTTACCGGAATTCAAACCTCCAGTTTCGAAAAACAAAAATACCCCTATCAGTTCAGCGTTCCCTTATGCTAACGTCCCTGGAACAACAGTTGGTACTATTCATGTCGCGTCTAGTCCTACCGCAACTTCTGTTCGTGTGCAAAACGTCGTCGTTTCCAAGACAAGTTTTGTGACACCCTCCACATTGACCCTTCCTCCCACCATTGAGTCATCCAAGGAACCTTCATCAACGCGCGTTCCAGTTTCGAAAAACATTCAATCTGCTGTTGGTTCTTCAGATACAATTTCTTCTGCACTGCAGCTCAGTTCCTCCGCGAGTATAACTCAAAGCCCACCAAATTCTTCGAGCACAGCGAGAACGGCAAACTCTTTTGCTTACTCGCTCGGCAAAAAACGTGAGTAACCGTGCCTCTGGCACCTCAAGCTGATTGCATCTTAGTATACGCATGAGCTGCCTCAGTTTCATGCATGATTTAATTTAACATACATTTGTATTTAGTTGCATTTGAAATATTGCTCTAAAAATATGCACTAACCTCTTTGCTTTTACTATCCTAGGTTGAGAAAACTTGAATAATCATGGTTAGAATATAAGAACGCAATTGTACGCAGAAGGCACCCATGCTCTTCTAAAATATGGAAGATGTGAACGGAGAATTTGTTCGCTCGTGAAAAAAGGGTCTGGGGACCGTTTTTTCGACTTAGCCATCCATGCCCATTGTACTTACAAAGCTTGATAAAACGGAGCTGACTATAACACAATAAATAGTAACTATAACAAGTGACCATATTATAGGTGGTGCGGAGAAATATGTTTCCTCAATTTCACGACCTGTGTCTTTTCAGGCGGACAAGCGAAGACAATTGTGATTTTTTGCGAGGTTTCATGTCTCCAATTAATTTCTCACTTTTCTTATATTGGAGCTGAAAAGCGTGCAGTCCACCAGACCTTTACATCTAACTTATAGCACCAGTCGAAAACTCTCCCTGCCTGACACGCAATGAATAACCTTTCTAGATGAACACACAATAGAATCACAATAACCTTTCTAGTTGAGCGCATTAATTGTATCGCGATGTTTATGATTGCAACCAAAACATGTATGAATAAAAAAGGACTCAAAAATTTGTGTTTATTGCAGTGTTGGTGCCGAAGGTGAGCGTGTCGCTCAAACCTGGCGCCTCACCAACGATGGTGTCGGTCCCCTCAGTGCTGGACAGCTTGCCCCCCGTCACCTCCTTCACTGCCTCCTCGTGCCTCCCTACACGTGCAGGTGATGGGGTAACCTGGGGTAACTTTGTGGCAACTTTGGGGTAACTTTGTGGCAACGCGAGGTAATTTTGTGTTAACTTGGGGTAACTTTGTGTCAACGCGTGGTGATTTTGTGTTAAGTTGGGGTAACTTTGTATCAACGCGCGGTAACTTTATGTTAACTTGTAGTCAACGCAAGGTACCATTTGCCAGCATTGTGAGCTGTGTCACGTGACGCGTTCTTCAGTGCCTGTTTACAATGTTATCTTGTCATTGCCGAAGAAGATTTCAAAGAAGTTGTTTTAAATAGAAATTGGCAACAGGTTTACTCATTAGCAAGTAATAATTACGGTTAGTAACAAGAAAAATTTCCTCGAATCGCAGTTTCAGGCCAATAAATTGTGGAGCATATTTCATTTTATGTGCATGTGCAGCATGCAATAGATTATTTGCAGCTTGTGCAGTTTTTCACTAGATTATTTAGTAAGAACTTCCATCATTCAATTCGGACTTTCATGGGCAGGTACAGGCGAAGAAGACCGCAGTTTGTCTCCGGCCATTTCAAGCTCTCGAGTTTTTACCACCACCACCACGTCATCGGCGACGAAAACCAAAAAAGTTCGGCCCACGAGAACAGAATCGCGGCAGAATATTGCCTCCTCTTCTACTTCTTCTTTGTCTCGACGAGGCCAGAAACGAAAACTTAATGACGATAGAGCTGCGACAAACTCGTCTAAACTGAGAGCTGTGAGCCAGAGGCCTGTACCCAAGTGCGCTAAGGATAAGCAAGACACTCTAAACACGCATAAAAATAAAGGGGTAAAGCCTGCAGAGGGCTGCTATAAGCCTGCAGAGTCAAGTGAGGATGAGGCTTGTAGAAAATCCCAGTCTGCAGCGTCGCCTGTCCCTGACGCAGAGAACTGTGAGTTCGCAATATGACTTCATGTACACAAATTGAAATTTTACGAGTTACAAACCTAATTCTATGATGGTTACAAAGTAAATTTATGAGTGTTTGAATGAACTTTATTCATTTTGTAACTTTTTTGTATGACAATTTTTTTTGTTGAACTTTTATTTCCACAACATGTAATGACTTTCATCCAATAGCGAGATTCGATTGTAACAGATTCAGTAGGATAAAAATTTGACCCAAAAAATCCATTGCAAGTACGGGGACTTGAAAACTGGAGGCATCCGGGATCATGTAATTCATACAATACTTTTTATCTGACAAGGAAGTAGTATCAGTATATGACATTGAATCTGGTCTGACCAGAGTCCATCCAGTTCTTAAACATTATTTATTATTTTGAACGTATATTATTATTGAGCATCAATGGATGTTTAATAACCGTCTGGATTGCAGTGGATCTGCTGGTGAGTCGGGCCCTGGAGTCGGTCGGAGCTTCGATGGATAAGGTGATGGCTGCACAGGAGTCATCCACACCACCCCAGTGGGCCTGCATCCATCCTGGCTGCTCAACCGTCTGTTCTAAGCTGTCAGCCCTCAAGGTCTGTTCTAAGCTGTCAGCCCTCAAGGTGTGTTCCAAGCTGTCAGCCCTCAAGGTCTGTTCTAAGCTGTCAGCCCTCAAGGTCTGTGCTTAAAGGCGTCAGCCCTCAAGGTGTGTGCTTTAAGGCGTCAGCCCTCAAGGTGTGTGCTTCATGGCGTTAGTCCTCAAGGTGTGTGCTTTATGTCTCTATTGCTAAAAGAGGCAAGACTTAAACTTAATTTTGAGGGTATTTTCTCATTTATGGAAAAAAAGGCGCTTTTGTGCTCGTTATGTCCGTCCGTCAGTCAGTGACTTCACGTTTTGGTCGATTTTGAGAAATGCGCTGTCACTCCTACAGTGAGTACTGATCTAATTTTTTTTACAAATTCGCCTTACGGCAAGTGAAAGGAAAGGCTACGTAAAGTTAGGGAGAGGGAAAGGGACGCGCCTGTAAAGGTAGGGTTTTGAATCGTGTTACCGTCACTGATGGTCACGATCATCTAATGGCCGTGCCTACGCCAGCGGCACATACATTGTTAATGGCCGAGAATGGATCAATGCTTCAGCCGACGCTCTTCACAGATTTAGCTATGTGCGAAACATCCCTAATAAACTTCATGTGAAAATTGATGAGGTTTTTTAAAGGGGAAAACTGAATTAAACATTTCCTGAAAAACGTAATTAAACATATTCATAGAAAAGTAAGTTTCTCAAACTAGAGCCAATATTTTGTAAAACTTCCATGATTTTATTCGATTTTAATTCAAATTTATGAATTCTATACTTTTTGAATGATTTTTTATTAGGTCTAACCATCCTTCCCTTCTTTCATTCTACCATACATTCATTATTATTACTATTCTACGAAGCAGTTATCGTGGTGTTTGGTTCAAACGAACTTCGAGGGAACGTTACACTCAAGTTTGATAGCAAGCAAAAAATGAATAGACACGAGAACGAATAAAAATGACTAAGCACATGATTCATAGGCTCTACGAAATAGTTCTATCTTATAGGCGTCGACCAAATACAAAGGCAACGAAGGAGCCGATGTTATGAATGCCGGCAGACTGTTCCAGGTTGCATTCCCAGTCATTCTATCTGCTATTTAACTATTAAAAGTTTTCTTAAAGCTAGGAATAATATTTTGATTAGTAGAACGTTCATCTAGTTTTATTGTATATTGTGTGTGACCTCTGTTTTCTTATAGCTAGAAAAGTTTTCTTGTAGCTGGGAATAATCGTTTAATTAGTAGAACGTTCCTCTAGTTTTATTATACTCTTCTACTTCTGTAAGTTTCAATATATTAATTTGTTGTGGCAGGTGCATATCCTGAATCACTTCCACGACCGTCCGTTCCGCTGCTCCCAGGCAGGCTGCGACTGGAGCTTCGCCTCCTCCTTCAAACTCAAGCGCCACATGGAGACCCACCTCAAGCGTCGGGACTTTGTTGTGAGACATGATATTCTGCTGGACGATATTCTGCTGCACAGTATTCAACTGGACAATATTCTACTCGACAATATTCAACTGCAAAATGTTCTTCTGGACAATATTCTGCTGGACAATATTCTGCTGGACAATATTCTGCTGGACAATATTCTGCTCAATAATATTCTACTGGACAATATTCTATAGGAAAATATTCTACCGGACAATATTCTGCTGCACAGTATTCTACTGCACAATATTCCACTGGACAATATTCTGCTGGAAAATATTTTTCTAGTCCTCTGGACAATATTCTCATATACTATTTCTGTAATTATGGCATTATGTTAAGCGTTGCACGTGTTGATGGCGGCGCAGTATTACGAGTGTTTGACGTGACGGTAACAGACGCGCTGATAACGGAGAACATTTGTTAGCATGTGTCGCGAAGTAACACTCGTGAGTCTGAGACGCGCTCATGTGACTATTGAAATTTATTGCGTTAATCGAGAATAAATTTATTCATATCAAAACAGGTGCAATGAGCGTTATTTAATTTGATATTTTCATATCAAATATGAGATTGGTTATTGGTCGTCAGGTTATCTCAGTCCTAGCCTCCTAGGAGTATTCCTTCTGATTATTGTTTATACGTTTAATCAGCCATTTGAATTTCAATGATTATGGCGGTCGACAATGGCTAATAACATTTTGCATTAGTCACCGTGATAATCAACCGACTAACATCACATGTGAGCAGCAAGATTGCAGCAAATACCCGTGATTATTTCAGCTCGGCGTTATTAGTAATTACTGCTGTAATTTATCAGTGTGAAGAACCGGACTGCGGGCGCCGCTTCACGACCATCTACAACCTGCGGTCGCACCTCCGTCGTCACGACTGCCCCTACCAGTGGCGCTGCGGTGCCCAGGGCTGCGGCCTCACCTTCCACACCAAGCGCCTCTACCAGATGCACCTCAAGACCCATGCTGACCTCCAGGCTCCTTATAAGTTAGCTCCTTTGTGGTGTTACTAATGGGTAGTTCAAGCTGTGTGATGTGTATGAGGTAGGACAGTCTTAACTCCACATTATGCGCCTCTACCAGATGCACCATAAGACCCATGCTGACGTCCAGGCTCCTTATAAGTTGTTGTTGTTGTGTTACTAATGGGTAGTACATGCTGTGCGATGTGTATGAGGTAGGACAGTCTTAAGAGGCTGGTGTGAGGTGTTGTAAAACTTTGTCTGACAACCCGGCTTGCCCGTCTTTTAGAAGGAATATCATTGGCGACGAGTCATTAGTTTTTGGACAAAGGATTGACGGTGTGGAAAAAGCCGTCAGTATCCAGGTTTACACTGTGACTTATCTAATTACAAATAAATTTGAAGTTGGAATCATGAGCCAAATATAATATAAAGCTGCTTTCTGGCTTAGCAGCTTCTGAAATGTAGTTTTTTATTCTATTTTATCTTCACATCATACACTTAGGTGTACTGTCGACTGCGGTCAATCACGTACCAATGAACACTACGAAATAGCTGCACTTGCATTCAAAGTGCACAATTTAAAGAGGTGTCCCTTGTCTTCTAGATGCACCATGTAAAGATACGTCCATGTATTCCAGGTGCACCATGGAGGGCTGCAACAAGTGTTACTTCAAAGCCTCGTCGCTGACGTTGCACCTCCGCAACCACAGCCGCGATCCGTCCGAGCTGCGCTGCCAGTGGCCAGGCTGTGACAAGGAGTTCGACAAGCCCTGCCGCCTCAAGGCCCACATGAGGAACCATACCGGCCAACGCCCCTTCGTCTGTGATTTTGAGGTGACTAAGCTTCTTAGCTTGCCATTTAATAAAAGCCATTCTATCAAGTGTCTCAAAGTAAGAGCCATATTGAACGCAAGTGACGGACTGTAAGTGGTCCTTCAAGAGCTCCTGTAACAGTGCCTCATGTCAGGTGTTGTGTTGCAGGGCTGCAAGTGGTCCTTCAAGAGCTCCTCGAAGCTGACGCGGCACAAGCGTAAGCACACCAACTGCCGCAAGTTTTCGTGCCCCGTTTGCCACAAGAGCTTCCTACGCTCAGAGCACCTTAAGGGGCACCTCCTGCTCCACACGGGCGTGCGCAACTTTGCCTGCACCCAACCAGGTGACGGTGACATGTCTAGTTCAGGTGCCTCATCTAGGTCTTGTCTAGTTCAGGTGCCTCATCTCGGTCATGTCTAGTTCAGGTGCCTCATCTCGGTCATGTCTCATTCACCTGATGGTTCAGAGCATTATTCTTCACGGGTGTGCCTGGGGTTTATTGCCATGAGTTATAGTGGCATAAAGTACTTAGTGAGTGATGGAGTGCAATTTTCTTTATCCCTTAATGTAGGTAATAATTCTGACAAGTTTTTCTGCTGGTGCTCGCATGAGTTAGTTGAGTGATACACTCATGGGATCACTTATGAGATATTGTTTACTCCACTGAAATGCACTGCATTTCTCCACACCTCAAACTACATCTGATCCTAATGTCGCTTAATTTTATTTGCGTTAACCACATTTCTTTACTCGTATGAAGAAATATTTCAATAACTATTTTTAAAACTTTTCTTATTGTGTGTAAATTAAATCGTGTTCACTCTTTAAGGTAATACTGAGTGAATATGTTGATTTTTAAAGGGTCATATGTAACATGATTCAACCAAAAAAATTGTGTTCATTAATACAAACAAACAACACTGTGTAAGCTTCTCCGAAGCAATAAAAACAAATTATCGAGAACAAAAAATCAACAAAATTGGAATTGATTTATGTATGAAAAATGAAAGTATGTAAGAATTATACACCATCATGCAACCTAATAATTAATGAATAAAATTTTCAGAGTGCAGTGCAAAGTTCACAGCGAAGAGCAGCCTGTACGTGCACCTCAAGAAGCACGCCAAGAAGCTTGCTTGTGTCGCGTCCCCTGAGACGGGCGGCGGCAAGGGCGGCGCCACTGCGCTGTACTGCCCCGTGCAGTCCTGTCTTAAGGGCTTCTCTTCCAAGGCTGCCCTTAAGGAACACTCCTTGACGTGCCATTCAGCTGTCCTAGGTAAACCTCTTCCAAGGCTGCCCTNTGTGTATAAGAGACAGGTCTTAGATAAGCCTCTTTCAAGTCTGTCCTTAAGGAACACTCCTTGACGTGCCATTCAGCGGTCCTAGGTAAGCCTCTTCCAAGGCTGCCCTTAAGGAACACTCCTTGACGTGCCATTCTGCTGTCCTAGGTAAGCCTCTTCCAAGGCTGCCCTTAAGGAACACTTCTTGACGTTCCATTCAGCTGTCCTAGGTAAGCCTAGGTAAGTCTGTCCACTCCTTGACGTTTCATTTAGCTGTCTTACACCTTATGTTTATTTATCACAAATTGTCTATTCCCTAGTTTGCTGGTATTTCATCTCAGTTAAGCTGGTTGGCGGTAATACATCGAAGCTTCGTTGGTAATCCCTTCTGCTATTTGCAGGCGTTGACGGTGGCCCCCTGGACTACATCACGCTGGTGGGGGAGCGATCGAGTCTCCCTGGCGACCTCCTGCACTCACCTCTCATCAAACCAGGCCTTCCTGCATCACCTTCGTCTTCTTTTCCTTCTCCAACTTCCTTTCATTCTTCACCATCGGCATCATTCCCTTCTCCTTGCACTTCTTCTGTTCTATCTTCGCCATCAGTTTCTGAGTTTCTGTCAACGTCAATATCTTCTTTTGCTCCTTCTTTATCTAATTCCTATCTTTCTACCGGATTTATTTCAACAACCTTGCCTTCTCCTTTTCCATCTTCCTCAGTTTCTACGTCCACTCATATCGTTCCTTTATCACTCTCAGTCACTGCTTTCTCTCCATGTACACAGCCTAGTCCTCTCTGTACTCTTTCTACTGCTCTCTCTACTCCTGCTTCTACTCCTCTCTTTACTCTCTCTACTGCTACGTCTCCTTCAAATTCGTCATTAAGGCCTTCAGAGCAAAATACATCTCAGGACCTCATAACTGACAAAACTCCCCTCCAAAACGCTGCTGCGATCAATAATATTAATTCATCGCTAAACGTTCAAATCAATAGAAATAAATTCCCTCAGAATACAATTATCATCAGCAAGAACGTCCCCCGCGTTGCCGGTGCTGGAAGTAAAACTTTCCAGTCTAACGCCAGAGTTGTGGCGGTCACTTCCCACATCACAGTCGACCACAGAAACGCTTCATGTCGCTCTAAAGGTAAGATTTTGACCTAAATGTTCATATTTCTTGGTGTAAGCCTGTCAAAAACGTGTTTCATTATGTGCGGAGAGACCATTTGATAAGCGTAGTGTAAAAGTTTCAGAGGAAGTAGCCACTATCAGATTGTTCGTATGGACGTTCAGCTTCGATATTAGAGGTGAGCATTTCGTCACCTATGTACGGAGAAAAGATCTAGGATTGCTAGCATTGCTCTACTTGGTATGCGTATTCCATATTAGTAAATGCCGTAGGCCTATACACGCTAATGTCTATGCCGTATGTATGCCCTATGGCTCTGTATTCAGGCGGCGAGAACCACTTGTTGCTTCCTTTAATCTTTTATCAGGAGGGACGGCGACTTCGTCAGGAGGTCTTGTGCCTTCATCTGGAGGGCAGGTCCCTGCGTTACGAGGTCTTTTGCCATCGTCAGGAGGTCTTGTACTCCGTTCAGAAGGTCCCATACCATCGTCAGGAGGTCTTGCGCCATCGTCATGCGTCCCAATGTCCTTGTCCGAAGATTTCCCGCCTTCTGCAGAAGGCCCGTCCTCTCTCTCAGAGGAGTCCTCCTCTCCGGCAGCGCTCTTGCAGGGACTTGAGCTCCTGGGGCCTCCCTTCGATGCCGGTAAGCTTATGTTCCCTGCTAGTCAGCCACAATTATATTTTTCTTCCTGATTTTCTAAAGAATATTTGATTAAAAGAAAAGGTGTAAATCTTAATCGTTTGAAAATTAGTTATATATCTATGAGACTATATATTTATTTGCAATTGTCCTTTTATATAGTATATATTTTATTGACTTCAATGGTGGATATGTTTTATTAATTCCTACTCAAAATTTCATGCAGTTGCAAGGTGAATAATTGATTGTTTCGATTATTGATAACTTCTTCTCTTCCTGCAGGGGTGAGTGGGATCCTGTCTGAGGAGACATGCCGGATGGGAATTCTGTATGAGATTTTCAATGGGACTTCTTATATTAATTTATTTGTCTGAAGGTCTTGTGTTTAACGCAATTTTTCTGTTTTCACTTCTCGTGAATTTTTTTGTAAGTTATTCACCACTGTAGTGCTGTTGCAAGTTAATGTCATCAGTAAAACTTGTGGCACTTGAGAGACTTCTGTAGAAATAGAATCGAGTTGCTTTGATTTCGATAAAATATATAATATATTCATATTTCATAAAAATATATATATAGATATGAATTATATTTATTTTTTTATTTTATTTCGATATAATATAATTTTATCATGCTGATTGTGGTAGTTTGAATATTGATGTATGGCACGTCCCCGCAGGCTGGGGATGACGGACTGTGTGTGCCTCATGGGGGGGACTTGTACCCCCCAGACCCCCTGATGTGCCCCCACCTGCTGACCGACACGTCCACGCCCCTGCACACCCACCAGACCACCATCAACCTGCGCGACCTGGACTAGACCAGCACCACCAGACCACCATCAACCTGCGCGACCTGGACTAGACCTGCACCACCAGACCACCATCAACCTGCGCGACCTGGACTAGACCAGCACCACCAGACCACAACTAATTTCTTTATTACATAACTCATTCAAAGCCTCATATGCGCATCACTACAAATGTATAGCCAATAATTGTATAACTAATTGTACATTACTTTCCCCATTGTCATGATAATAAGTGTACATTATATTTCCTATTAATATGTGAATATTAGACCAATAGTATGTGTGTAAATGATTGTACGATAGTTGTTCTTTTAAAATGTGATATACTGTATTGTTTTAAGCTAAGCTACTTATTATGTTAATAACTTTAACCATTCATCGTTTACGCGGCGTGTTGGTAAATTGATCGTATATTAATTTGATTGAGTTATTGTTTATTGTCAATACCAAACGATTGATCCTCCGACGTTAGTCCCTCTTTAATGGCGCCTTTCCGAGCTTCATTCAATACTTCATGCCTGTATTGATATGATAATTATTGTTGGTACTACTAAATTAGTTCTTAGTTCGTTTTATACTTTATACTGGGTGATTATATACGATGATCAGGTGATTATCTCACGATGATGTGGTGATTATCTCACGACGTGGTGGTGATTATCTCACGACGAGTGGTGAATATCTCACGACGATGTGGTGATTATCTCACGACGATATAGTTTCCGCAAAGCAGGAAGAAAATTAATTTTGTTAACAGGAATAGTTATAATTTATAACTGGATAAGTTTTTTAAAAATTCCGTGCGCCAAACAGCGAGTTGACTGGAGTGACGTGGAGATGATCAGTTAGCCGGGAGGATATAATTACTTAAATAATATTGTTTCATCTGCTTTGGCATGTACGTTAACATTCTTTCTGGAATGACCACGAGTTCTGTTCTTTATATTTTACGTTTTTCAAATAAATTCGACTGAATTTCTTCTCATAATTTTCATGCGGCCACACAAAGCATCAACCTCTTGTATCAGCCTCAGCTTAGGTTATCTCGTGTAGTATTATACGAGATGTGTTAACGCAGGTTATCTCGTGTAGTATTATACGAGATGTGTTAACGCAGGTTATCTCGTGTAGTATTATACGAGATGTGTTAACGCAACTCTGAAGAGCGTCTGGTTACGCTGATAGAGCTGCCTATAAAGAAGCAGATACAGTTAATTAACAAGATTCCTTTTTAGCGCATTTTCTCATTTATGAAAAAAATGCACTATTGTGCTCGCAATGTCCGTCTGTCTGTCCGTCCATGACTTCACGTTTTCGTCGACGAGAAAATGCGCTCTCTGTCACTCACTGCAGTGAGTACTGAGTTATATTTTTTGATTAAATACTCGTACATAGAAACATCGGAGTTAATGACCTATACTTTCCAAAAAAGCTTGTCCTCCGTGAGAAAGATTCATTGGAAAAGATGATATTGTCCCCATGGTTTTGCCAGATTTGTTGACTTTTTTTTCTACGTGGAAGCTTGTCAACAGTTCCACTCACCGCTCCTATAAAGCCTAAAATATCGATCAAAGTTTGCTTTGATTGGTGCTTAAAAAAAAAGAAAATCCCTGGACCATGTTTCAAACAACAATACAATTCATACAATCTGATCAAAGTTCGCTTTGATTGGTGCTTAAAAAAAAAGAAATCCCTGGACTATGTTTCATACAACAATACCGACTTATAGTTAAGAATATCGGTCCCTGTATTTTTGTTGATTTTTATACACAGCATTATAAATTAGTTGCTGGATCTTGACAAATAATTATCTAAAATTCGTAATTGAACTGAAATCATTCAGTTTGTGGATATATGCAGTTGCTTTATTATTCTTTGATTTTTAAAGACACCATAGAGAATTCGCACCAGCAGTTATTGAATCGTGCAAGAAAAAGGCAAATTTGATTGGAATTAAGGATTTTGTTATAGTCTCTTTGTATTATTTTACAAATTTGTATATTGATGTTTCAATGACGTAAGTACAAATTTTATTTTCAAGTGACGCTCATGATCTATTTTGATTTTTTAGAATTAAAAATTATTTTCCCAATTACTTGACAGTTCTTCAGCCAATAAATTTCCGTCCTTACGGAAAAAGAGAAGTGAATCCGCAGATTGGAATCATAACAAACACTTGCATGAAATATTCCACTGACTTCACCCATAAAGTGAGTATTTGCTTCATTGTAGAGGGAAAGAAATTCCTCAGTCGAAGGGCGCAAGGTAATTGGAGAATTTTTGAATACAGAGTGGCTTAAATAAGTCATCAAGATAAATCTGGTTTCAAATGAGGTAATCTTGCACCCAGTCTCATAGAACCGTTAGAACGTATCTCTCAATCACTGATTGACTCAATGTAACAGTGTAAACTTCCTAGTTTTGAAAATCATCTGCACAATGATAGTTGTGAGTAATTTTATAGTATTTTCAAATGATCTCTTTACAGTACATAATAATACATTTGCCAATTCAAGGCTAATGCATTACACTAGCAACCAAACCAGTTACACAAACCACTGATTTTTTAGAGTCGGTTCATTTTTAATTTCCACATTTACTCACAATTTATAGCAATTTCTTATATATGACAATGCAGGTATCCAGGATACTTTACTGGTCTACATATAGTACTGAGAAATTAACTTGAGGGAGAGTCTAAAAAACTCTCTGCATTGCCAATTGCCATGGTATGACCAGGCTGGTTATAAAAATATGCAGCTATACTGAAATCTTATACCAATCTTTTAGTTGAGAATCTAATCAGGCAAATTGGTTATTGAAGCATATTTTCTTAGTTAATGTTGGAACTTATGGAAATGGAAAAAAGGATTTGTGATGAATTTTTATCTGGATTATTACTCAATTGGTTTATTAACAGACCCATCTTTAGTTTTAGGCTTTGAATCAATTTCAGGTTGAGAATTTGGTTTGTTATAACTTGTTTGGTTCTTAGGTTAATACAGATCTTCAGTTGACATTAGGATCTAAATAAAATAACTGCAAGTGCAATATTTAACAAACTACTTAGTAGGTACTTGCAAAGTGGATGAATCAATAGCTATCTAGTAATACTCTATATGCTATGATTGCTGTCATGAGCAGTTTTAGAGACTTTCCATAGATTTTTAGATTTTCTGGCAGTAGCACTGTAGCATGAACTTGATATGCACAGCAGTGTAGATGAAATCTAAATATCCTCAGCAACATGTACCTACATGAAAAGTCAAAGACTTTGAGAGATCATATCTACACATTTCTCATAGTGGTGCTGTACTATGATGTATACATGTATTTTTGACTAAAAATCTTGAAAGTCATGGCTGTCCTTGATATTTCTTGAAAATATTGCTGATACTTGAAGCCTGAAATCCAAATCCTTGTGACATTTGCTAAACTCTGCATCATTGGCTGCATCTTGGTGCTCTGTCAGTTTCCCATAAGTCAGCTAGATTCATTATTAAGACTAATAGCTTTAGGCAAAACCCTGTTTTTCCTGTTACACACAATAGGAATACGTTTACGTAGCCATGCATTTTTTCATCTTTGGGAAATTGTTTGATAATAGAAATGTAGTCACTATTGAACCATGTACATAGCTGTCCAATTTGCCTGCATTATGCAAATATACTCTTAGGTCATGAAATCTTGCAGCCATAAATTTGTTCAACTATTTCTGATGCATTCTGAACAGTGCATGTATCTCTTGACCAACTGCAGTGACACTATGTTAAGTTGGGTAATTGTGTTACCAAGATAAAGATTTTAGGTACAGTGTTGTTGATATTGTTGATTTGTTGCCAGAACTGCTTGAACCTTGGAGATTTTGTTGCCCAAAACACGTGTGAATGAGTATGTAATATAAAATGCATTAACAAGTACTTATGAAGACAGATTTTGATGTTGACATCACCAAAGATCTTTATACTGTATTTTCTAATGAATTGTCATCTTGTTTATCTCTTGGCAATGAAGTAGCATCCTTCATCTTCATGTTGCTTCAGTCTAGGTACATTGAACATTGAGGTACAAAAAGGTAGTTTGTTGCATCTAGTGCCAATGATGAAGTAAAATTTTGTTCCTTGTTCTATCTATTTTTTTTGTACGTGCATATAGTGACTCCTTATGGAGATCATTGAATAAATAATTCTAGTATTTATTGCACTTCTAAGGCCAGAATTAATTTTTAAATATCTCTTGAAATGAATCGATTTGGTTTTGGACTCTCAAGAACCATACTTAGGTTCTAAAGAAACTATGTACCAGTGCATACAAGAACCCCAGAAAATGCAAATTTTCCTTATTTTATATAGATCTCACTCAACTGTATAGCAAGGACCAAGATGTTGGATAAATATATCTGCTATATCTCAATGTACAGAGGATTCCTTTTCTTTTAAATATGATGTAGCCAGTCCTGGAAGCTGTGAATGGGTTTTTGAAATGCATGTTAGGCCATGCATCATTGTTGATTTTCTTATTCCTGTGATGTTGTAAGGTGGAAGCCTTAATCTTTTCTCTTGAGGTGTCAGATTTTGGGAACTCAAATTTGAAGTGCATTAATGCAATTTTGCATCTAGGGTTAAACACCAGTGCTATCAGGGTTTGAAATATAGTTATTTCATACCAGATTGACCCAATATTATGGGTACATAATGAAATAATGAAATATTTAGTTCCAAGAAAAGGAGCAGAATTTGGTGCCTACTGCAACTTGATTCATAGCAGTTGTCAGTGTTGCTGCTATAAATTTCTTATTACATTATATTGAATTTTTTTATGAATTTCCTAATCTGGGCCTCACTAGAAAAGATGCGACATCATGATTTGTGCAGATTTAGAAAGAAAGATTGGTTGTCCCTAGGACTACTGAGAGTAACAATTTATAATTACTACCATGCAAAAAGAAATGTTAGATGGTTATTGTATCCATGTGCAATGGCTTACTTAGAATTAGTTCCAATTTTGAATTACTTTGCTAGTTCTAAGTTCTATTAAATTAGTCCTGAAGAATTGCAGAAGATGCAGCCCGATCTGGAATAGCCTAAACTTCTATTTATCTTGCATTTAGTTGCACAGGACAGGAGATAGCTTGAAATGGGTTTTGAAGCTGGCAGATCTCCTATCAGACTTTGAGTAGCTGAAGTAATAAATGATTCCATGATATTGTCTTCAAATCATCAAAAAATTGACATTTCCAATTTCTGAACATCATTCATTTTGTCATTTAACAAAGATCAAAGTTGAATTTTTAAATTTACAATCCTGCTATGTCTTTCAATGTTTGAAGTTTTTATTCACCTTTCCCCTCTGATCTTTTCTAGAATTCTAACCTCACGGTGTTTAATGAAACTTAACACGTGTTTGAACATTTTAAGTCGAAGGCCACTTTATAACATTCTAACTCCGGAAACTTTGAGTTTACCGTACGTTGTTTTTCAGCTTTGTAAGACATGCCTCGTAGGAAGCGTAGTGGTGGTTCGAAACGACACGTCACAGCTGTAAGTTAAGGCAATTTGATATGTATATAATTGACACGTGTTGGAACTCGAGCTCTATTTACCTGGATATTTACTGATATATATAGTTGACAGGCTATGTATGGTTTATAAGTTTGAACCTTTTCTGTCGAAGGATAAGATAACTTCTCAAGCATCGCCGGAGCTAGGCAGTCCACTGGAAGAAACTCCTGCGCAAGACAACCCCGAGGACGTTCCTTTTAACCTCGATCCTGATCATCCGCAGCAGATTGTAGAGAACATTGCCGATTCTCCCGAGCCTCCAAATGAAGGCAACCAAATAGCCCAGGGTGATGATCTTGTGCATGCATTAGAAGGCCCAGAATTGGGTGCAGCTCTGAACGAGCCAGTCGAAACTGCGTCGATAGATTCCAATGAAGCTGCTTGTGGGAGTCCGAGCTCGAACAGGAGCGTTCACGATGACAGCCGACCAGCAAGTCGATCCGACATAGAGACGATGATCATTGAACAAGCGTTTGCTATGGAGTACCTTGATCTGGCCAATGACCCGATACCCGAAGAGGATGTTGACCATAATCTTGACGAACCATCGTTTTCTGGCGGTTCTGTTCGATTGCGGCAAGAACTTGAACTTGTTGAACGAGTTGGAGAATATGAAGGAATGTTGCTCCCTGTTGATGAACAGGAGGATAATGGTGACAATGACGACGAAGACGTTGTTGATGATAATGGTGACTATGACGACGAAGACGTTGTTAATGAGAATGGTGACTATGACGACGAAGACGTTGTTGATGATGATGGTGACTATGACGACGAAGACAATGTTGATGATAATCGTGACGATGACGACGAAGACGTTGTTGCTGATAATGACGAATACGTTGATGATTATGACTACGATGAAGATGATGACGTTGACATTGAGATGATGAATCTTGAAGGCGCATCTACTCTTCCTCCCGAAGAGCCAGGAACTTCGAACTCAAGTAATGTACCTGCCGAAGAGACGGCTTCTGCGCAAAGCTCGAGAAGCAGCAGGCGACGCGAGAGGAAAGGAACTCTAGTTTGTGAGAGATGTGGAGATAGATTTCCTGCTAGGCTCCTCCCGAAGTTGCAAGAGGGTTTGGCAGCAGTCGATACTCCCGTGATCATTACTCAAGCCCCTCGCTCGCCCACCGCCCCAGTGGCGCCAGACACTCAAAGCACATCTGGCATATCAACAGGAACTAGGAACAGCGACGAGGACTCCGGAACTTCATCATCCCGAGCGTCAACACCTGCGGTCTGTCCACACTGTCAATCCATTGAGCCTCCTCGTAGCGCATCTGATACAAGTTTGCCGTCGGCCGGCTCTTTCTCGGCTGCAATGGAAGAAACCATCGCACCAAATGTTACCATAGATAGGCAATACGGGCACAACCTTCCTGGCTATGACACTGAACGCGTGCCTAGTGCGCCTCCACCAGTTTATCCTCCCCTAGCATCTCCCCAACGTAGACCGGCATCGAGTGGGCCTTACCATTATCACTATTCTCCGGACAGTAGACCAGAAAGTTCTTGCGTCATTATTCCTCCCCCCTTGTCACCACGGGATGGTCAGCGCTCGAGCAGCTCCCATCCTCGTCGCACGACTCCAGACAGCAGAGCTGGGTCATCAGGCAGCGCTGCTTACGGCCAGCTTCCAGGAGTTCAAGAAAATGTCACTGGTCCGTCAGATTCGCCAGTTCATCCACATTCTTCACCCGAAGGGCGACGAAATACTAGAGGCGAACGGTTCCATTCGCACGGATCGTCTGGTACGCCTCCTTCACCTACTATTGAGACACGGAGCCCCTACACCCCTCCTCCAGGTGGACCTTCATTCCCATACAATCTTATACCGCAGGAGTCGGTTATTCCTCCTCCAATGGGTCAACACCCTATCTCCCCTCAAAGTGCTTCAATGCTTTCATATGCTGGTCTTCCCGCGCTTGCGCTAAGGATGGGTATCCACAGCCCCGAATCGCGACACTTGTCACCACCCTTGGATGGACAACGTATTTCTCCCCAAAGTAGTTCTTCAATGCCACCTTATGTTGGACTTCCAGCACAAAGAATGAGTAGCCAGAGCCCCGAATCGCGACACTTGTCACCGCCCTTAGATGGACAACACCGTATTTCTCCCCAAAGTTCTTCAATGATTCCTTATGCTGGACTACCTGCGCATTCACCCAGGATTAGTACCCAAAGCCCCGAATCGCGACACTTGTCACCACCCTTGGATGGACAACACCGTAGTTCTCCCCAAAGTTCTTCAATGCTTCCTTATGCTGTACTTCATGCGCAAAGGACGAGTAGCCAGAGCCCCGATTCGAGACACTTGTCATCACCAACGTTGAGCACAAGTTCCCGAACTGTGTCCGGCGAGGCTGGTAGTCCCATGCGACAACGTCCTGTGACGAGCCCTTCGCGTGTAGCTCCTTATGGAGCTTCACCCCGCCGAGCTCTAAGAAGGCTGCAGCTCGACGAAGAGACGGAGAACGAAGGCGAGGAAGAGACACAAGATGCTGTTGTCCCTAGTGGAACGGATATTTAGATGCAGGAGTGTTACGATAAAAGACTAGCACATTTTATGAAAGTTTTAGGCCTTTGCGCGTCAAACCATTTTAATAAATTGGACCCAGAATTTTCGACGAAAAATAAGCATGCATCACAAGATTGGTTCCTGGCTAAATATTAAAAGTTGGAAACCTAAATTTCTCAAACGGAAGTAGAGTTCTCCAATAACCGGCTTGAATAGAATTTTCTCCTTCTTCGTCCATAGGAAGCGCGTTTTGGTAAGTCGTTCGTAATTCTATGTAAACATTCATCTGCTTATTTACTAAGTAAACTTTTCTTGAACTAACTGCACGTTTTCTCTTGCAGATTACATTCAAGTCGACAATTCCCATACTCAACTCTGCACCTCTTGCCTAGCTCCACCGAAAAATTTTCTGTTGTATCCTGCGTGTCAACAGCAATAGAATATTGCTGTTGGTGTGGTCTTCGTAATGGACAACAACCAAGGCGATGGTCGGATCGGTGGGGTGGTTGCCGACGAGATGTTCCCTGAAGGAGCTGGTCCTTACATAGACCTTGACGAGGCTGGTGGAATTCTCATGGATCTGACTGCCAATGAGAAGGCTGTGCACGCTGACTTCCCCAACTCCTTCCCTGATATTTTTGACGACGAGGATCTGGCTTGAATTTAAATGGAGTTATTAATCTAAATCAGTATTTGGAGTTAATCTATTATAACTCGCAAGAGCCGCGATGTACATGCAGCGTAAAATACTGATTATATGTGATGTTACAGATGGGGGTAATTATTTCTGCTTTATGTTCCATAAAAATACAGGCGACGATGAACAACGAACTTGAGTAACCTGTAATTTTCAATTTTTAATGATCGCGGCAGAGCAGAATTGTGGTCTATTTTAATGTCTCTATATTCGATAACCCTCGAAGTTTTTAAATAAACTCACTTTCATGGAGTAGAGTATTATTTATCTTATCCAAATCCGGCATGTCTTGGCGAGACTAGATTCAGTCAGTCGGTTGTGCCACCTCTGGGTCAACCACTCGGACAGCGCGATTGCAGCTCGTATAGCTGCAAGATTGAATATCAGTCCAATCATTGGAATTTTTCCTAGTGTCAACACGGTTAAGGTTGTCTACGAATCGGATACACCATGATGCATACACATTTGCGGCCTCTGTTTGTCAAAGAACTTGCATAATATACAAGCGAATGCGCCCCACTATGAGCCGTGTTCAGTATCTAGAGATGCATGATTTTAGCGAAAGTGAATCCCAAGTCTGTTTGAAATTGGCGGAGGTGTTCGTAGAATTTGATACCCAAGAACGCCTTGTTAAGAGAATTTACTAGTGTGCTGCAAACCTGGAATTGTGGTCACGATTAAAGTCCTGTATTCCGCTCTAATTCATTTTGAACGTTGCTTTGGTCCGGTGATGATTATAATTTGACGGCTAAACTTTTAAATAGATTCCAAATGAATGCCTAAAATCCAGATTGCCGAATTGAAAACGGCGGGGACTAATGCCTGTTCTGCAGATGTTTATCAGCACACTTACCTGAATCAGTAATGAGGCCAACGGGTACGAAACGAATTTACGGAATGTTTATCTCGTCTAATCTGCCATATTGAAGTGGATCAGCTTTGCAACGTCTATTTATTACCGCGATCACTCCACACATTATATAGATGGAACCGGATTAAGGTTGATGTAAGCTATTTAGTGTTAATTATGCGTTTTTAGGTTCATAAAGTAACGATGGCTTATTGGTAGCAGTTTAAAACAACTGGAGCAGTAACTGGAGCACCATAAACTTGCCATAACTGGAGCAGTAATTTTGTGGGTTCGATCCCAGCTACCTACTCGTTACTACAGCTCTGATAAAATAGTTGAGGTGGCCGGACGATAAGAGCAGCAAAATTGGAGCAGTTAGCTGCATGCTAGTGTCCAGCAACCGGCTGTGAATATTATGATATGTTAGGAATCTGGGATAAGCCAAACGTCTAGTCAACGTATACACCGTTATTATCGCTAATTTAAATAATATTATTATTAATAGAGATTGTGCAGGGTGGCCCAGTGGTTACAGTTCAGAGTACCAGGATTGGCGCAGAGAGGCGCGGGTTCGATCCCAGCTCTGTGCGCCAGTTTCTGGTCAGAATCGGCAAGGGGGCCGGGCGGTTAAGCACAGCAGAATTGTAGCAGTGAGTTGCGAGTTCGAGACCGCAACAAGCTGTGAATGTTCTGCGATTTTAAGAATCGGCGACAGGCCTACGGCTTAATAACGCTGAAACCGCTATTATTATTATTGTGTAAATGACGTCACGTCGGCACCAAGTTGCCGTTCCGCACTTTTGCTAGGCCCTACTTTATTAACCACTTCATGGACCATTTGCGGATTTGAAAAGGTGATTAGCGTAAACTACGGCTTTGGAGTTTGGACTTGGGTCGTGGTGGGACGACTGAAATAACCCAGCATTGCCCAATACCTGCATAATTTTCATACTTCACCCCGTGCATAAGCATGCTGCAGAGCAAATTAGCCAACATGATTACTTGATGAAAGCCACAGGGACTAAATCCCTTCATGGATGTAAATCAGCGAGCCAATGAGCTGCAAGCCGCCAAAACAATGGTCGTAACCCACACGCTAAACCCTAAAAAATTTCTATTCCATGCAGCCTAGCCCCTTCCCCACTTTCGATAAAGAACGCCCTGCGCCACAGTGCTATCAGTACACTGCTACCTCTCCAGCCTGTCCGTTCTTCTGGAGGCTAAACCTCCACGCTTACCCCCTGCTCCCCCTCCTTTCGGTACCAGCTTGCGGAAGAATTCTAACCTAACCTAACCTAACCAAACCTAACCCTTTCGCGGAAAGGTGGAGAGAAGGGGGTAGGTGTGGAGGAAGGAGATGCTGGTGAGCGTCAGGGCTGGGCTTACGCCTGCGAAGTGGGTAAGGTGATGCGACAGTCCGGTGCGGGGACCCATTCCGTTCCCATTTACGGCAGTCTGGTGCGGTCTGCGGACCCTGTGGCTTACGGCATTTGTAAGAAGTGATGGTATGGGCTTAAATCATTGGTGTAGGAGCTATTGGGCGTAATACGTTTGGAGTATCAGCTTGTGGGCTGAGGCATTGCTTGTTTCAAGCTGGTGTGGTGAGATGAGGCAAGTAAGAACAGCTGCATATGTGTTAGGCTGACTATTTCTATTGCATGTAGAGGGTTGGCATTGGCTCTTGGGCTGATTTAAGAGTCAAATTTTTGGGCTATGGCAGCGCTCCCTCCGTTATTAGTTTTGTTAAAGTTCGGGCCACGTCGGTGTGATTAACATTGGGGAACTATTTAGTAAAGTCAAACAAAATTTTTATATATTCGAGGAATAGGGAAGACTGGACACCATCGTAAAATATAATTCACTCTGAATTATGAATGAAATAATTCAAAATAAACGAAGATTTGGCAGTCAAAATTTATTTTGGGATGAAACGTCAGAGTTACAATAAATGTCGACAATAAAATAAAATATATTTCATGTTAGAGACGGAATGTATTCAAAGTGAGACAATTTCATATTCATCATTGACTCGTGTCTAAATTAGTCATGCCTAAAATAGCGCTATGTCATCAGTATCCATGGACTTATGTCGTCGCACTCACGCTCCAATAGTAACATTAGCATCTAAAGTAGCGCTGAAATATTTTTGAAGGCTGGAAAGCCAGTAGAAATTGGGCGAAGAAATTCTAAGATGGTAAAATATGTGTGTGCTGCTCTCCCGGTCGAAACTGCTTTTCATAGCCAGCAAAATTGGTAATTCGTTTGAATCTGCGCGTGTACGACGACCTCGTGAGAGCAATAGAGGAGTAAAGGCAGGTAAATGAGAGTTTAATTTGTTAGTTTGAATAGGTCTTCCTTCGGTAAACATTTTATAATTTTATTCCTACGAGTGGAATTATCAAATTTAAGTTATGGTCGAGTTGGGAATAAAATGCATTCTCTCAACATAACATAACATAGTGATGTCGGCGCTGAAGAGTAGGCCTGATGTGGCCTGTCGCCGATTCTTGAACTTTTCGTGACTATCTCACAGAAGATCTAAAATCGTGTCATTTGACCGGATCTTTCCATGACTGACGAAAGTTTGAAATAGCTACTCGATTTCCACCGGGTTCGATTTGGTGCTAGGGATTTCAAGTCTGAACATATATTTCTCCATAGCTTTATCTAGTCTGTTCTTGAACGCGTTCATACTCGGAGCGCCAACGATGTAATCGGGGAGGCTGTTCCTCATGTCGGTGACTCGAAGCGAGAAGAAATGTTGTCGCGTGGATAATTTACAGCTCGTTTTTTTAGTTTATATCCGTGGCCCCTTGTGTTTGTTCTTGTTTCAAATTCTAGTAATCCTTCGGTGACCTTGTATAAATCATGAGTATACTTGTATACTTCAATGCATGAGGTCCCCACACAGACGTCGATAACTGAGGCTTGAAAGCTTCATAATCTTTAATCTTTCTTCATATGTCTTGCATTTCAAGCCTGGAATTATCCTTGTTGCACGTCTTTGAACATTCTTTACCAAATTTTTCTCCTTTTCAAATCTCTGTGACCACACAACGTTTCCAAACTCTAGATTCGGGCGCACGGCAGCAACAAACAACTGCTTCATCGCCTCCGCATCTATAGGAACTCGTAAGAGCGTCTAATTAGTCCAAGAAGTTTGTTAGATGTGTTAGCTTGCGTTTCAACATGATTAGAAAATTTCAGCTCCTTGTCGACATAAGCTCAGAGATATTTTTCCGCACTAGACTTTTCAATCATTACTCTCTCGTTGCAACCATGTCTTCTCATACTGTAATCTTGCTGTTCATTGTTCTTCCTGAGGCGAAGTACTTTACACTTTTCAGCATTAAACCGCAGCTTTCAGCTTTAAGAGCTTTCATTTCCCGTGTTTAGTATCATTGGTATATGTGAGAGACTTCGGACCTAATGAAGAAAAAGCATCTAAGTATGTCTTTTTTAATGAAACGCAATGTATGTTTTGACATTGAATTGCAATTCGTAAAAATATTTAAGTAGTGATAATAAGTTCGTATTAATAATTCAATTAACATTGTTAAGAATACAAATAAATTCTTGTACAAATAAGATCCGAGACTACCTTCTCCAGGGTGAATGATTGGTAAATTTGATTTAAATTAGTTTAAATTCACAATTCACTTATTGTTTTGTTCACCATAAGCTTGTAAATACTTTTAGACGCGGCTGCAGAATTTTGGAAGCGGGCTATTAGGTTGCGCTACGCATGACTGCAATATAATTACCATCAGTTGACATCTGTATATTATTGGACCAGTTTAATATATAATAATGTATAAGAATACGCACCTAAAAAGAATATATAAGAACCTATAAGATAAGACCTACAGGGTGTTTCAGAATTAAGCAACTCTTTTAATTTGTTAATAAATAAA